GCGGAGGAGAAAGTCGAAGTCTACTCCGACCACCGCAACCTAGGGTACTTCCGCACCGCACAACGACTGAATCGCCGCCAAGCGTGGTGGTCACTCTTCCTCTCCCAATTCCACTTCACCCTCATCCACCGCCCAGGGAAACTCATGGGAAAACCCGATGCGCTCTCGCGCCGCGCTGACCACCCAAAAGGCAAGGACGACAACGACAGGTTGACTCTCCTCCAACCCGCCTGGTTCAAGGCCTGTGCGGTGGAGGTGGTCACGGTGGAAGGCAAAGGGGTGACCATCCTTGAGAGGATCAGCAGGGCAAAGGACCTGGATGAGAAAGTAGTAAAGGCAATGCGGGAACTGGGAGAGGGAGAAACAAGGAGAGCTGGTGCTGTACAGAGGAAAAGTATATGTCCCGAAAGACCCGCAACTCCGCCACGACCTAGTGCGCCTGTACCATGACGCGCATGCGACGGGGCATCCAGGGCAGTGGAAGACCCTGGAACTCGTCTCCCGCGACTACTGGTGGCCACGGATGGCAGAGTATGTTGGGCGGTACGTATGCGGATGCGACACCTGCAACCGTGTCAAATCCTTCCCCTCTCGTAAAGTGGGAAAGCTCACCCTGAACAAGATCCCCACCTGCCGCTGGCAAGTAATCTCAGTAGACATGATTGGAGAACTCCCCGAGTCCAAGGGCTACAATGCTGTCCTGGTCGTAGTGGACCGCCTATCCAAACGCATCCACGCAATCCCAACGGTGACAACGGTGGACTTGGCAGGGATCGCGCAGCTTTTCCTCGAACATGTCTGGAAGCACCACGGTCTCCCTGAAGAGATTCTCAGCGATAGAGGGAGCGCATTTGTCTCGCAATTCTCGAAAGAACTCGTGGACCTCCTCGGCGTCAAGCTCACCCCCTCAACGCCCTACCACCCCCAGACAGACGGGCAGATGGAGAGAGTAAACCAAGAGGTAGAGGCTTACCTCCAGGTGTTTGTCAACCATCGCCAAGACGACTGGGCGGACTGGCTCCCACTAGCAGAGTTTGCCTATAACAACCGTGTCCACTCCTCCACCCACCGAACCCCTTTCGAGCTCGACACTGGCCAACACCCTAGGATGGGGACAGAGCCCACATGCACATCCGAAGTAGAAGCCGCTGATGCCTTCTCATCGAGGATGATGAAGATGCAAGAAGAGGCAAAGGCAGCGCTAGAGCACGTGGCGGACGAGATGCCCCGCTACTACGACCGGAACTGCGAGGCGGCCCCTACATACCAAGAAGGCGACCAGGTCTGGCTCAGCACCCAAAATTACATGACAGACTGCCCAACCAAGAAGCTGGACCGTAAATGGACCGGCCCTTTCACGATTATTAAAGTTGTCTCCCCCGCCGCTGTCAAACTCCGGCTCACCACCCAACAAAGAGGGATCCACCCAGTCGTATCGGTAACAAACATCAGACCGCACCGCCCGGACGAGATTGCGGAATGCCCCGCTGACCCCCGCCCAGGCCCAGACCTCGTGGATGGAGAAGAGGAGTACGAAGTAGAGAAAATCCTGGACTCTAAGTGGCTGCACCGAAAACTCCGGTACCTGGTAAAGTATACAGGCTGGCCACACTCAGAAAACCAATGGCTCACGTGCGATGACCTAACCCATGCCTCAGACCTAGTCAAGGAGTTGCACCGGACGCACCCACATGCCCCAGGGAGAGAAAGAGAGAACTGCCCAGCTGCTTCGAGGCGAAGCGGCTTAAGGGGGGGGTGATGTCAGGGCACACCCCACCTGACCCCGCATCGTGCCGCCCTACTCCGCTCCCCTGCTATCACTCCCTGTTTCTTCTTTCCCCTTTCCTTCTTTCTTTCTATTTCCATTCCATGGTTGACTTCCCCTTCTCTATGTATTACTACACACTTAACCCCGCTCCCCCGATCGCCACGCCCGCCGCATGCATTCCCGCTCACAGAGCGGCACACCTCCAGGATCTCCCACGGAGATACCCAGGGGAGTGCGGCTGTGTGCGGGGATGACATGGCTCCTCCCACGTGACCCCAGCCACATGTATATAATAGCACCTGGGGTGGGAACAGAAGAAGCAGCCTTCTTCTCAACTTCCCACTTCAGGTAAGTACTGTAGCTTCCCCTTTTAATGATAATTCAACTTCCCACTTCAGACTAAGTGGTTGGGGATGCTCACCCTGCAACGGGACCGCCGCTACGCATAGCCGACATCTGTCCCATTGAGTCCCTCGTGCCGGGACCTCGCCGCTTTCGGAGCTGTCCCTGACAGAAGCTAGACTAAACTAGGGTACTTGCCTGAAGTGGGAAATGAGAAGAAGGTTACTTCTTCAGTCCTGCTTCGGCTTAGTTTATATACATGTGTGAATGGGTCACGTGGAAGTGCCACTGTCAGAGACCAGATTCAAGACGAGGGAGAGTCTCCATGACGGAGGGCTTTGGCCTCAGCAACTTATGCCAAGAGCGCTGTGCCTAGTGACACGTCTGTGCCCTAACTTACTGACTGGCAATCAGAACCGAAGGGGGGTAACTCTAGTTGATTTTATTACTGGAGTGTAACCTATGTACAAGTTGGATATATATATAGTTACAGCGAGGACGGGTCCGCAATTGGCGGAGCCAAACAGAGCGGAGCTAACGGGGTTAAACATTAGCCAACTGAATATTACCGACGAGTCGGGTTGCAGGGTTAGCGGAAAGGCAGGCGATAACCCAGAAACGGAAAGGAGGGATAGGCCCGAAGGTGGGCTCTGCAGGGCAGGCAAGTGTATTGCCCAGCGGAGACAGGAGTGCACTAGCAGACGTCGGAGCTGTCCGGAAGTCTTCAGGGCTCCATACTTAGGGAGGCGTAGGTAATAAATTGAAAGGAGGGGGTGGTGACCATCGAGGGGTACCGAGAGGATTGCGGAATATGGGAGCTCCGAGGTCAGTGAGGAAGGAGCGGAGTTGGACTGGAGTAATCGGAGGGACCGGAAGTCGATGGCTGGGGATGGATATGACAGCCACGTCACCCTCGGACGAAGCCAGGTTACCATGGGTGGCTCCACGGTCGATCCCGAGTGTTGGAGGGGAAATACAAGTAGGAGTTGTGTGGTGCGTCCGGTGTTGCGGTGCCCCTATGGGGTGCTCAGCATCGGATGCATCTATGCTACAAGTGTAGGAAAGAAAGAGAGGTCATCTGTATAAAGATAGAAAAAGAGAAGAAGGAAAGAAGAGAGAATGAGAGGATGAGACAAAAGGAAAGGAGGTGGCAGCAGCAGCGGCGGCAGCGTGCCCTGACAGATGGGAGTGGGGAATGGCCAGCTGACTGAATAGAAAGGAAGCAGCAGCCCAAATAGGAATGAGGGAGAATAGCGGAATTGAATAGGACAACGCAATAGTTGCAAGGTCCGAGGTAAGTCCGGAAAGTCCGAACTCGGAAGTTAAACTCCGGAATATTGGCAAACGTAATTAAATGGAATGAGCTAACCAATACAATGGGTATAAGCGGAGGTGGGGTCAAAGTCCGAGGTCGGAGCTAAGACCGGAGGTTCCGGAGATGGAGATGCAAACGGGATTCCGGAGCGGAGGTCCGGAGTCGGGAGCATAGGTGTTGCATGCTCATCTGGAAGGTGTCGAGGATGAGGTCGGACCCGGAATGTTCCGGAGTCGGACCGAAGGTGGTGTTGGAGCTGGAGGTGGGATAACCTCTTGGAAGTCAGCAAGGAGGAGGTGATGGAAGGGGTGATGTTCGGTCTGAGGTGAGTATCGGAGTGGATGGAGATAGGGTAGGAGGAGGACAGGAGGGTGGAGGTGGCATGGTGTCGGGTCCGAAGGCGAATACGGACAGCGGTAGGGTAGGACTCTGGAAATCAGGTTCGGAGTTCCAGGAGCCCGGAGTGGAGGTTGGGATTGTACAGATATGACAGCACCACTGTGCCACACATCCATTTCCTATCCAGTCCCCGATCCCCCTTGTGCTCCACTATACCTGTTACAGGAATGGGTTCCGGGGAACCCAACCTGAGCCGTTCGGCTCACTAATGGAGGTGGCTGTGTAGCCATCGGAGGGAGAGCGGAATAGGATGAGTGTATGGAAGTACAACCTGTGTGTCGGCCAATGGTAACTTGGCGCTCCTGGGAGCATACCGGTAGCGAGTATGATGTGGGCTCCTTGAGGGAGCCACCTGGCTGTCTGCTAATGGGGACTTGGTGCTCCTGGGAGCGTGCCGGTAGCGGGTGTGCTGGGAGTGTTTGGCTAGCGGTGACTTGGCACTCAATGGAGCGTACCGGTAGTGAGGGATACTGGGACTCCCAAAGGGAGTCACCCAGTTGGTGGCTATCGGTGACTTGGCGCTCATGGGAGCGTACCGGTAGCGGGAGTTGTTGGGGAAAGCGGGCTGGTGGACCAGTGCACGGTAGTGGGTGACCGTGGGAAGTGGGACCCACGGGTGCGTGGCCAGGCATCCTGGAGCTGCCTGGACCATATCCTTCTCCTGAGGAGGTGGGATAGGCTACAGTTCCTGATAGGGAACTTCTGGTTGCATGGGAGCAACCACTCAACCACCCGGTGGACTGGTGGGAGTGGGCAGTAGGAGGTTGGGCGTGGGAATGCCCTCCTCGCTGCGGTTTTGTCATGGAGAGGAGGAATAGGGAGGTGGACATGGTTCCAGGGTTACAGGTTGAGTTTACAGTGGTGACACAATGGTGAGGATGTTACAATTGCAGTACAAGGTTTGTGGGTTATGTATTTGATAATGAGAAAACATCTCGGCAATTACCATACATGTCATATGACTTGTATCTATCTAATACAAATGTTATAATGGCCAAAGGAAGTCCTTTGGAAATCAACAAATCCCCCAGCCAGCACCAAAACCCAGTGGGAAAGCTTGGCATGGGGTTTGGCAGAGAATGAAGTGAGAAGAAGAAATATCTTACCTGTGTGCCTGGTCTATAGGAGTCTAGGCCCATTTCCATAGCAAAGGGCCTCAAGGTCTGGTTGCCTGTCATGGACCATAAGATTCTCCATTTCCATAACAATACCCTGCTTGCAACGCTGAGAGCAGACACCAGTTCTGGTCATACCATTCCAAATAGACGTGCTGGAGCTGAGTCTCCTAGTCCTATTTCTTGTACCACTCCACTACTAGCTCACAATCTTCCTCCGAAAGATGTTCACAAACACGTTATGTTTGCGACCTAGACATTCAACTCCCACTCTCGAGCTACAAACCATTCTTTTATAGGTTCTTGTCGAGGTTGTTGATGAAGATGGGCTGGTTCCTCATGAACCCATCCCTCTCATTGACCTCAACCTCCCTATTCTTGTTGGTGACAATGACAAAGTTGAGCAAGTTCCTGTTCTGGTACTCACCCAGTTAGCACAAGCGATCACCTATCTTGCTCACTCCACCGCTTGTCCTTGCTCCAATCCCTGTTCCAGTTCCTGCTCCCATACAACCTCTCACTCCATCCACCTCCCTTCGAACCAAGGTTCGAGAACCCAACCAGTTTGACAGGGTTGATCCCCACAAGCTCCACACCTGCTTCCTCCAGTGTGAACTGAACTTTCAGGACCACCCCCTGGCCTTCATGAGTGACCGCTCAAAGATTATTTATGTGCAGTCATTCTTGATGGGGATGGCCCTTGATTGTTTCGAACTGGACCTTCTGGAAGGGCTGTCTGAGGTTTGTGGATGGATAACTTTCAGGAGTTTGTCTTAGAGCTCAAGGAGAACTCCGGTCCCCATGATCCAATGGGTGACACTGAAGACAAGATCCTCCAGTTGAGTATGAAAGATGGGCATCACATAAACAAGTACATTGTTGAGTTCAATCAATATGCTACACAGTTGCATGGTTATGGCGAGCCTGCACTTTGTCGGTTCTTTTATGACAGTGTAATGGGTCAATCGCCTTGACTCGAGACAGAGAAGAGGGGGAGGGTTGTAGTGTGTGCAGGTGTGGTTTGTGGGGCTGGGTTTTGGTCCATGGGTGCTACTGAGTCTGCAAAAACCTCAAACACTCACCTATGTCTCTCTGTCACAACTGACAAATCCCGGGGCTCCGTCAGCAGTGAATCAATGCCGACAGGCGATTCCTCCGACCCGAACCCATCCATACCAGCCCCAACCCGATGTCTGTTCTATCGACCATGCACCGCTTCCGCACCTCCACAACCTCTGTCCATTTCTGGTTGTCCTTGACACCTCTGGTCAGGTCAACACTCCCCTCCGTATCTTGCTGGCCATCATGCTGTCCTTTTATGACAGCACTGACAGACCACCCTCTGTTGTGGACTCATCAGCACCATGCTGATTCCTGCATCCCTTTGCGGACTTGTGTCGGCATCACACCGACCCTGCATCCTGATTTGCGGACTTGTATCGGTGCCGCGTGCTGACCTCTGCTTTTCCTCTGGCCATTTGTCACTTGGCAGCTTATCATTCATTCCTTGCTGAGTGCCATTTATTGTTTGCTTCCCTGCCAATATCGGCATTTGATCCCCTCTTTATTGGCACTAGGTTATTGATCTCATTCAGTTATTCATCAATAACCCTTGCCACTTATTGTTTATTGATCTGTTCCTTGTTTCCAGTTCCTGGGCTCTTGTCCTTATTTAGTTTGACAATCCCCCCTTATCTCCGCACCGGACCACGCTGGACTGACCGGCCTTTCTATATTCCCTCTTGCCTATTTATATACCTTGTAAATACTTTTGGGGACCTCAGTCTGAAATCAACTAGAGTACCCCCCCTGTCTGGTCTGAGTCTCTCCTTCTGCAAAGGGGGCTTCCCCCCCTCTGAGTCCGTGCTTGCGGAGTCCGCGCTCCTCCTACAGGTCCGCTCTGCCCGCAAGTCTTGTTTGAAGTCCGCTGTGAGTGTCAATCCGTAAATACGGGATCTCCCCAAACGTCAAGCTCAGGGCACAGCGCTCCACCTGAGTCGCTGAGGCTGCGATCCCACTCTGCTAACCTTGAACAGCGCTTCTGGACGCACCGCATATTTCCGCCCACATATCCGCATGCGTGCTCCAACAGACCTCTGCCACAATCTCCGACCCCAACTCAGACAGAACCCAATCCACCTTCTGACAGTTTGTCCGACTCTGACAATATCCCAGTCTCTGACAGCAATCCAGATCTCTGACACTCTCTTGGACATCAAGGCTGAGTATTATGATACGAGGGGGTCTTAGACATTGGTAACTAGCTCAGAGGGGGCATTAGAGTCGTGGATGGCATCTTTGCCACTTGGATGTAACTCTTTCTTACCCCTTCATTGGTCTATTCAGTACTAACTTGTTATGTACAAGCTATTATCTATTTAATATCCAATTGGGAACAAAGAAACAATAAAAGAAATATGAATGAATGGGGAAAATATGACAACGGATCCGAACTGGGAATTGTGAAAGTTAACTCCGCAACACTTCGCCACAACGCCTGCCTATCCTTTCGCAGCAACCTCCTCGTCTCCAGCTTTCTGTCATATCCATACAATCCCGACCTCTGCTCCGGGCTCCTGGAACTCTGAACTCCGACTTCCGGAGCCCTACTTCCCTTCCTTATCCCACCTCCGGCTCGGACACCACCTTCGGTCCGACTCCGGAACATTCCGGGTCCAACCCCAACCTCGACACCTTCCAGACGAGTACACAAAACCTATGCTCCCGACTCCGGACCTCCGCTCCAGTATCCCGTTCACGTCTCGTCTCCGGAACCTCTGGTCTTAGCTCCGACCTCGGACTTTGACCCCACCTCCGCTTATACCCATTGTATTGGTTAGCTCATTCCATTTAATTACCTTTGCCAATATTCCGGAGTTTAACCTCCGAGTTCGGACTTTCCGGACTTACTCCGGACCTTGCAACTATTGCATTGTCCATTTCAATTCCGCTATTCTCCCTCATTCCTATTTGGGCTGCTGCTTCCTTTCTATTCAGTCAGCTAGCCATTCCCGACTCCCATCCTCCTTCCTTCCTCCTTGGGCCTTGGCCCTTCATCCCTCCTTTGGGAAACACCATTGAGTCAAACACTTGACCCTCAGTGTTGTTCCTCTTTCCATCTCCCTTTGTCTCCTTTCGTCTTACCCTTGTTCCTTTTGATTCCGGACCCCTCCTTATATACAATGTACCTAGTAACTTGTAACCTCAGTCCGAAATCGACTTGAATTCCCCCAAGAGACTTTCCCTCTGCTAGATCCGAAATTAGGGACCCCCAGGACAACCAGCAATGGCACAGCGCTCCACCTGAGTCGCTGAGGCCGAGGTCCTTCCATGCTAAGTCTCCGATTCCATTCCGGAGTCGTCCGAATCCGACAGTTCTAACACTTTCCAACGAGCCCTTATTCATCCCAATTGGTGCAGTAGTTCTTGAGATGTGGCCATTGACAGGTGCTGTCAAGACCACATGAGACTCTACACCATGCTGAAGTATGGGGTTTCCATTCTGGGAAATGCTCCGTGGGTGAAGAAGGAAGGTAGAGCATCACCAACGGGTAGAACAACAGCTGGGTTGTATGTGTGGTATTGGAGGTCTGGAGAGGGGTGAAATTGGTGGTGTGGTTGGGCATGTGTCAGGGACAGCTCCGAAAGCGGCGAGGTCCCAAGGTGTGGGACTTGGCCGGACGGATAGCGGCTATGCGTAGCGGCGATCCCGTCACAGGTGAGCATCCCCAACCACTTAGTCTGAAGTGGAAATGTGAGTCATCATTAAAAGGGAAGGCTACTTCTTCGGTTCCCACTCCAGCTGTTATTATATACATGCGGGAATGATCATGTGGGGTGCGCCACGTCACCCTTGCACACAGCCACGGCTCTCCGGGTGCTTCTGTGGAAGATCCCAAGAGGGCCCACTGTGGGTGCAAGGCGAGTGCAGTGGCGGTGGTGGCAGTATAGGGATGTAAGATACAGGAGGGGAGATGGGCATGTGCGCCGGTGATACATTGAGCAGGGGGAAAGGTGGTCCATGTAAGAGAAAGAGAGAAAGAAAGAAAGGAGGAAAGGAGAACAGGAGAAAGGAAGAGGGAGAGGAGGGAGAGGCGGTGCGGAGCGGGGATCGGGCAGGGCATGTCGGGGCATGCCCTGACAGCATGGGAATTTTGCTTGGGGTTGTCGGGAATGATGGGGAAAATATGGAAAAATAAGGAGTGAGTGTATGGAGTGTTGGATAGTGGTAGAATGATCATTGGAAGTGTCAGTGGGTATGTAGTGTGTGTTGATGGGCAAATTCTGCAGAATCCGACTTTTTGTGGTGCACAGAGTTGTCCCCACAACAATGGACTGCCAGAGCATCTCAAGGACGATTTCTCACATGTCACCAAACCTACTTCACTTGCTGCCCTCTGAAAACTTGCACAGACGTTCGACACATGATATTGGAAGCGTAAGGCTGAAGCTGCACGATGTCATATCCGTGCATACCCGATCCTACTACTTCTCCACCCTCCTGCTCCGCTCCTCCTTCACCCAGCCTCCACCCTCCCGTCATCCTCCTATGCTTCCCCCGTCTGCTCCGATACTCACCCCCGGACCTGACAACCCTCCTTTCCGCCACTCCTTCCCCCTTACCTTTCCCCTCTCTCCTCCCTCTGGTACTCCTCGGCCACCCTTCCGCCAAGTTACGACCTTCCACTGCTGTCCCGTACTTCGTACTTGGACACCGCTCGTACCTTTGCTCCGAGCCTCCATCATAGTCCCTACCTCGGACTTTGACTCCACCTCGGTCTTAGTCCATTGCATTGGTGACCTCATACTACGTAAACACCATTGCCAATATCCCTCGGACTTTCAACCCCGCCTCCATAACCTCTGTAAGCTCCGCAACCCCCGAGCTTCATGGATTGCCTTCAGCACTTTCGCTGCTTGTAATGTATCTCTCGCGTTTACCCCTCATCCCTATTTGGACTACTGCTTCTTCCCATTCTAGCCAGTTAGTCATCACCCCCACTTCTCCTCATCCTCCTGCCCCTCTGGGCCTCGCCCTCCCTACCTCCTTTCGGACGTATCACAGGTCCTGCCTTATGACCTTCGGTACCGCTCCGCTTCTTCTACCCTTTGTTCCTGTTCGGACGTCTTCGTTCCGATTCGGTTCCCCTTTGTTTCCTTGTGCTTTTGCCCCCTCGATTATATATATCGGCGCTTGTACATACTCGTTTTGGTTCAGTCCGAAATCGACCTGAAATGCCCCCTAGAGACTTCCTGCTCACCTACTGTGAAATTAAGGACCAAATGGACAAACAGCAATGGCACAGCGCTCCGCTTGAGTCGCTGAGGCCAAGGTCCCTCCATGCTAAGTCTCCGATTCCACTCCGGAGTCGTCTGTATCAGCCCCGTTCTAACACACGACATGTTAGACCTCCGCCCTCCTCTGCCACTACCTTCAACAAGTCTGCTGCATCTCAGTCGGCAAGTACTTCCTTCCATCCTCCCCCTACTCCCTCTGCCTCCACTCCCATTGTGGCTGCAAAGCCTCCTAAAGACCATAAGAAGTCTGAAGGATGCCCCACAGCCAAACCAGACCTCTCTTCAAAACTCAGTGAGAATGGCAAGCTGTCAGGGCACACC